CCCCCCTCCCTCTCTCCTTCAAAAATAAATAAACATTAAAAAAATTTTTAATTCCAACCTTCCTTCCAATAGCACCACCTTTCGGTTTTATTTTTTACTTACAGTCTGCCTCCCCTACCAAATGCTGTACCTTGAGTGCCTAAAAGTGTGCCTTGCATATAGGTGGCTCTATAAACATGAATGAATAAATAAAAAGGGTTATAAGAGCCAGCCCTTCAATGTGCTTAGGACTACCAAACAAAATACAGGACACCTAGAGAAATTTGAATTTCAGATAGACAACATATTTTTTACATGGCACATGGTTATACTAAACACATTCGTTATATAAACTTTAAATTTAAATTTAAATGGGCCCCCCTGCTCAAATACCCACTGATATCATTTCTGCAGGTACAGATGTATAAAAAGATACCAGCAAATTATATTCACCATTTAAAACCTTTGAATTAATTTTCAAGAGGCACCTGGGTGGCTCAGTTGGTTAAGCGTCTGACTCTTGATTTTGGCTCACGTTATGATCGATGTCACAGAACGTGAGTTTGAGCCTGAATCGGGCTCCGTGCATTTGGGATTCTTTCTCTCTCCCTCTCTCTTCCTCTCTCTGCCCATCCCCACTGCCCGCTCTCTAAATAAATAAATAAATAAATAAATAAACAAACAAACTTTTACAAAATTTAAAAACAGAATTAATCTTAAAGGCAAACAGACCCTGGGGACATTGTGAGTTGGAGCACAGGAGAGAAACCAAGGCAGAGGTGAAAACCTTTGTCTGCAGTGAGTGGGGATGGGGTGAGTGACGAAAGGAGAGCTGAGAGGCATGGGATGACTCATCCTCTTGGGGACTTGCAGGCAGGCAGGAAGCTGCTCCTGACACAGGGTTCTCCCCTTCCGGCCTCTCGTGGCTCAGGGAAGCGGGAAGCCAGAAGAAGCATCAGCACCACTGGGTGCTCATGTTGCATTTCCAAGTATATTCGGCCCCAGGGAGCTAGAATCGTCTAAGAGGAGGCTGTGGTAAGGGAGTCACAGGGTGGGTACATTTGGGGCCACCTACTGACATCTGTGGAGTCTGCTGCCTGAGCCAATCTCAGTGGCCTGTTAGGACCCTATGTCTTGACTATGTGGAAATTCTGCACAAGTGGGTGTTCTGGAAATGACAATGGTCCTGACCCAGGGGCCCTCACTAAAAGCCTTAGTAACTGACGGTGTAGTTTCAGCTCTCCTGCTCATGGGACCCCCCCACCCCCCGTAAGATGGGGACAAGAGGGCTTGCCCCATAGATGCACACAACGCACTTTCAGTTCATTAGTCCTACCACCT